GTAGTTCATAACTATATACTGCAAAAGTTAAATTTGTATATATTTACATTTTCTGATAGACTGCAGCGGCGCACAGCTGGACATGTATGGATCTATATGTATTTGCTACTCCTTACAGGATAACCTGGGATTACTATTTTGAAACCCGAGCGCACACACTTATGATTGAGTCATGGGAGGACCCAGCAGAAATGGAATATGTAGGTTCATTTATGTCTTATTTTTTGGTAATGCAGCGATGGCAAAGAGTTCACAAGTTTAATACTTGTGAAATTTCCCACAGGTCAAACAACATGGGATCTCTGTATTTCTCATGCCTTCAGGGATGCTTGGAACTTTGGTCTCCATGATGGATGTATTGCCTCTATTCTCCAACACGGCTTGGGGTCAGAATGCTAACTTAGCTTTTCTGAAGAAACACATGGGAGCAACTTTTGAGAAACGTCCTCGTCCATGGCATGCTACGATTAACCCAGATGATGTCCACTCTGGTGATTTCATAGCCATCTCCAAAATCCGTGGCCGGTGGGGTGGGTTTGAAACACTTGAGAAATGGGTAACTGGAGCATTTGCAGGACATACTGCAGTTTGTTTGAAAGACGAGTATGGCAAACTTTGGGTCGGTGAATCTGGTTATGAAAATGAAAAGGTAAGCTGAAAAAATGGTTTCCTTTTATCACTCTCAATGTAACCTTTTTTCCAAAAGTGTAGATTTTTTTTGTTATTAAACAAACTAAAGCTGTTGCATTAGTTCCATTTTTCAACTGCTACTCCATCCCAAAATCATCTTCCCATGTAAATAGGCATGGAGATTAAGATTGAAAGGAAATTTATTTAAATGCCCCAACCTACTCTTGGTGTTTAGTAAGAGTGTACTAAAAGTCTAAAATGTATAGTAAATATGAATGTTGTTGAGTGTAAAGTGTATTTTTATTTAAAAGTACAAAGTGTGCCAAAAAGGAAATGAGATGATGATTTCGGAAAATCCTACTGTGGCAAGTGGGTAAGAATATGATTTTGGGACATAGGGAGTAATTTTTTTTCTTTGCTGAAGAGTGTTTGTTGATAGAAGTGTAATACATTGGGTCTGTGTTTGTAGATAACTCATTATTTGGTACTAAAGTTCAATGAAGATCTCCAGAAAAAAATCAGTGGAAGAACCCTGAATTTTATCATTTAAACAAAGTAGATTATGACACATTTTTTCATTCAAAAAATTGTGAATTTCACTCTGGGATAGTTGGATAAGAAAATAAATTATTTTTCTTTTCTTTACTATGCTGCACTCCATCGTGCTGTTAAGTTGTTCGAATGACTTGGAAGAGTACATGTTTTTTTAGTACATAGATGGGGACTTGCTTTACGAAACTGTCTTTTTATCATGAGTGATTGCTTATCTGGTTCATCACTGAGCTGTTCATTCTGTCCTGGACATACTACAGGGTGAAGAGGTTATTGCAGTCACCCCATGGGATGAGTGGTGGGAGCTTACACTCAAGGATAGTTCAAATCCACAAATAGCTTTATTACCCTTACACCCTGCAGTGCGTGCTAGATTCAACTCTACAGCAGCATGGGAATATGTTAGAAGCATGTCAGGGAAACCATATGGTTACCATAATATGATTTTTAGTTGGATTGACACAGTCACTGATAACTACCCTCCTCCTCTTGATGCTCACTTGGTATGCCCCTTTATCTGTTCAAACCTTGAAACTGTACTCTATTTTTTTCTTTGACTAAATATTGTGTGCATATCTAGGGCACGTTTGATTCTCGGAACATATTTTCATCAAAACAAATGTTTAGATTTTCATGTGTTTGGCATTGGAAAACGATTTGGTCTCTTCCTTGAACTTTTGTGGTAAAGTGGGAGTCATTTTATTTTTTGGTTAGATATCATATTTTACACGAAATACCTTGGGTGGAAATATTTTTTTTCACGTAGTCTTATTACTCTACAACAAAATGGAGCTGTGATCAAATGAGTTTTCCCTCTCCCACAAGACTTCAAACAACAATCCTGCAGAACATCATAAAGGTTTCCGGGATTGTTTTTTGTCGCGGCCTTTTTTTACTGGTAAAATGAGTCAACTAACAACAGACTTTGATTGTAGGTGCTGTCTGTCATGTCCATGTGGACTAGAATGCAGCCAACTTATGCTGCAAATATGTGGAATGAGGCATTGAACAAGAGACTTGGCACAGAGGTGAACATGGTTATAAACTTATGATGAACCTATGATAACCGTGCTTGTAGCTTTTCATAATGGTCAGTTTGGTTGGATGGGAGGGGAGGGGAGAGAAAGGATAAAGTCAGTTGAGAGAAGTGAGGCTCAGAATTTTTCCCTTCCTTTTCAACCAAACACACCATCTAGGAAGCATTTCCAATAAGGTGTGTTTGGTAGGCAGATTTATTTGATATGTTTGAAGTTTGAACTTATTCAATAAGTTTATTTGAGTAGCTTTTCAAAGATGTTACACGCACTTCTTTGTTTGTTACCTTGTCTTTATTGACAAATTATTTAAAACCTTTATGACACTTTGAATGTCAAAACTTATCAGCTAATATTTCATCAAACACTATAGGAAAGTCAACTAGCTTTACTGCATCAATTTTTCAGAATATCAACCAATAGCTGACTCTTTGGTGCCAAACAAAGCCATACAATAGCCTTATGTATGTGATAGGGAATGAATGAAAAAGCTTCATCCTCATTCCCCAGACTTCTTTCTCTAAGAAACATCTTTCTCCTCTTTCTTTATGATTCTTGTGTTTATTAGGTTAGGATGTGTAGAGGTCTTAGGCTAAACAGAGTGCCGCATTTGTTAATCCGTCCTTCTCTAACAGTCTATATATACCAGACCTTTCAACAACTTATTGATTATGATTTGCAGGGTCTAGACCTGTATGAAATTCTTGCGGAGACTGAAAGACGGGGGATAACCTTTGATCAACTGCTCACCATTCCAGAAAAGGATGAATGGGTGTACAGTGATGGGAAATCAACAACCTGCGTTGCCTTTATTCTTGCCATGTATAAAGAAGCTGGAGTGTTTGGTTCTATTTCTGACTCCATTCAAGTCACTGAGTTCACTGTGAGCATCATTCTCAATTCTCTGTTTTTTTTTTAATTTCATTTTTTTATTGGAAATTTGAAATGCTATAGGACTCATAGTTATTTTGGAGCTGAGAATAAGTTATAAGCTCCAAACTAAGATCTACCAAACACACTTATGTGGCATTAGACGGATTCTCACAACGATGTTTATTATGCTTTTTTATGCTTGCAGATTAGAGATGCCTACATGCTGAAAATATTTGAGGATAACCAAACGCGTCTACCAAGCTGGTGCAACAATGGAGAAGATAAACATAAACTCCCCTTCTGCCAGATTCTTGGGGAGTACAGAATGGAACTTCCACAGTACAACACTTTGGAGCCGTATGCCAACATGAACGAGAACTGCCCTTCTTTACCCCCAACTTACCAGAGGCCTCTGCGTTGCTAATAAACGTAATCTCTCTCTCTCTCTCTCTCTCCCTCTCTTTTTATTTCCCAAATTATACTATCCTTTTGGGTTGTTTGGTATCACGATGCCACCGTTTGGTTATCCACGTCCAGTTGCAATGTCTGTAGATAAGTGTAAATTATACTGGTTATTGTAAAATGGTCCTTTTATTCTTGGGTTTCTTAATAAATGAATAGACTGTAATTTAGGAGTCAAATTTCCCTTGTGCAGCGAGAAACACCCTTAGTATTTCAACACATCGGCAAAGAATGAATAAAATCAGATCAACTTGGCATATCATATGACTCAATCAAAGCATCAAAAACATAAGAGAAGAAGATGTATATGTATATAAAGATACACACACACATATATAAGATCATACAGATCATAAGATGTTTTGGTTTCCAGTGAAATCATGTTTTCCGGCTGTGCTTGTAGTTGCTGTATTTGATCTTGACCCAATTAGAAGCAGCAGAAGTTACTTTCTTGGCCTTGTGGTAGACTATGGAGGTTGCTGCCTTCGTCTTCCCGAATCCCCTTTCCAATTTCCCTGCCACCGTCACCGGTAACTTCTGAGATCTCTGCTCCCCGACAGGCTTTTGACCGCCGTGGGAACTCCACGGGTTGTCCATGGCCGCCATGCTCGAATCAAATTACAGAGGTTTGAAGAGTTTTAGGCTGAGACGGACTTATATAATGAGGAGAACCATATTTATATACGGGTGAGCTGTCTTCTTTTTTTCCTTTTTTGGTAATTTTAAAGTTTTCCTGATTTGGTTGTTCTTATCCGATGCATTCGCGTGTTAGATCCGGATTGGATCTGAAACCTATCGTGGAGTCGATTATCCGAACCTAAACATACCCGAAATGTCTCGACAAAGTGAATATCCGATATATGATCGAAGTCCGAGAGAACTTGAATCGGATTCCAAGCAAACTGAGTCGGGTTTGAATTAGACCTAAAACTGATTCATTTTGAATTGCATGAAACCCAAATCGAATCAAACTCGATACCTACGTGAATTGTTCTGTACCAAAACACATACGAAGGAGTATCACATTTCTGGATAATCGAAACCATATTTGAATTGAATTGTGGTCGACCGTAACGAGGAATGTAGAGAACCACATTAAATTCGGATTGGATCAAAACCGATCCGAATTAATTACTCCGGTATAACATATCCGGAATACATTCAAATCGAGTTGATTGGCCCGATCATCCAGTCTACGCATAAATCATGGATCCAGAAAGTTGACTAATCCGTCATTGACTTTGAAATAAAGATCACAATGCTGTGTACGGTGCAATTACCTTCTTCTAGATTTGACCAGAAAATATAGCACTCCGTATTTGATTAACTAAATAAAATCGAGTCTCCGTTTAAATAGGGGCTTTGAAAGTGGCGGTGCAATTGATTCTGTTATCACACTTATTTTAAGAACTTCGGTATTTTAATAGCATTAAAAATTACTGCCTCCCTACGGAGCTCCGTTCATAAAATTGATGATTCCTATCCCTCTAACCTCCTCGGTAAATCCTCCGCCAAGTCCCGACCCAAACCAATCACCCCACTTACGTAAATTGCACCTCGTAAGTATAATTGACTTTAAAGTCAAAAGTTTTGACTTTATACTTACGAGATGCAATTGACGTAGGTGGGGTGATTAGTTTGGGTCGGGACTTGGCGGGGGGGTTAGAGGGGGTAGGAATCATCAATTTTATGAACGGAGCTCCGTAGGGGGGCAGTGGCTTCCGTGGCCACCGGATTCCAGTGGCCATGGAACTGAGCCGTAAAAAATTTGGGCTTTTTACGGAAAAGAAAAAACTTATTATCGATCTATGTAAAATATGAGAAGGTTTATATTCCACACGTGGACTTTAGGACCACAAAAGTATATACTCCCTCCGTCCTTAAAAGATTTACACTTTTCAAAAAAATTGCGTCCCACAATTTCCTACCCATTTGCCATTTCTATTAAAAAACTAATTTTACCTCTTACTTTTTCAAATTCTACCTATCACATCATACCTTTTTCCTAATAATCTACACATCACATCCTACTTTTACCCATTACATCAAGGGTATTTTTGGAAAGTCAACACAAAATTATCTCTTTCTTAATTTCAACTTTAGTCAAAACGTGTAAATCTTTTTGGGACGGAGGTAATATTTTGTATTTTTAGTATGGATTACATTCATCACAAAATGAATTACACTCTATGAACCATGTACAGAACCCAGTTATTTGTAAAATTATTTTATTTATAAATTAATACAGAGTATATAAATAAAATTTAAACTTCACATAATCAAAAGTTCTACAAAATAAAAAGTGACAAAAATATTTTATTCTATTAGATGATCAATAAAAACATGTAAACTAAGGAATGTTATCGAGATACTTTAATGTAATACATTAGATGATCGATAAAAATATGTAATTCTTAACCTACCTATCACACCATACCTTTTTATTAATAATTTACCCATCATATCTTATTTTTAGCCATCATATCAATGTATTTTTGGAAAATCAACACAACAATATCCTTCTTTTAAAGTTCCTAAATTTCAAAATAAGAATATCTTTATGGCAGAGTTTTTCGTATGCTATATTTGAAAGCTGGCCTTGTATACAGAACCCAGTTATTTGCAAATGGACTCCCATCCCCTTTGATTTCTGATTCTGCTCCTTTTGCTTCTTCTTTGATTTCCGATTCTGCTCATCCGCCATCTTTATGTAATGAAAATTTTACCTAAATAGGACTAAAACATAATGATTTTCTCAATATAGGACCATATGTTTTTATTTCCTAATGTAGGACTTTTGGTCATTATTAGTTAGTCATTATTCAATTAAATGTCCATCATTACGAGACATTATTCTTCTCACTAGAGATTATTAAGTCCTATTTAACAAATAAAAAAAGTTTTAAGTCCTACATTAGAAAATGACTTATGTTTTAGTCCTATTTCACTTAATTAAATACCTATGGCTTCTGATTCTACTTCTTCTTCTTCTTCAAGCTTGGTGATTTTTATTTTGAAATACCTAGAGCTTGTTGTTTCTTACTTCCTTCGGTTTTAGATTTAGTAGTGTTAAAAAGAGTATCCCACATCGGAACTTGGAGAGAAAATAAACCGGTATATAAGCCCATGAGTTGAACTAACTAATCGATTGAATTCAATCTTTTAATGTGGTTCAACCCAAGTGTCTTATTGCCCAATTCAGTTGTCCATACCCATCCTAAATTCTATCATGGTATCGGAGTAGGTTTTGCCCACCTCGTTTGTCAAGGTGTCCGTCTAGACGTTCATTCCTAGTGGCCCGTTAGTCTTTAGCCCAGTTGTCCGTCTAGACGTTCATTCCTAGTTGTACGTCTGGAAGTCTATACCCAGCATCTCGTGGTCCTTTAGGTGTTGGCGCTCAAAAAAAATCAAGGGGATGGGAGTCCATTTGCAAGTGGTCAACCGGTTAGATTCAAATTAAAATGGCCCGGTTGTCCACTTGAGGGGGAGTCTTAAAAAGAGTATCCCACATCGGAACTTGGAGAGAAAATAAACCGGTATATAAGCCTTTGAGTTGAACTAACTAATCGATTGAATTCAAACTTTTAATGTGGTTCAACCCAAGTGTCTTATTGCCCAATCCAGTTGTCCATACACATCCTAAATTCTATCAAGTAGTTATGCTTCTTCATCTTGCTCGAGTTTCTTCAAATAGCTAGGGCTTTCTATTTCTTGCTCATCCACCATATCTGATTTCCAATTGTTGATTTTTTTTTTTAAAAAAATGAGGTTTTGTTGGTGGTTGATAGTGAATATAGATGATATGGTTGGAGTGGATGAAGAAAAATGAGCTATAAAAACACTCTAGAAAAGCTAAAGAGGCAAATAGAGGATCAAAAAAATAGAGGATGGGTTGGAGATGAGCTTAGTCGGAGTAGTATAATTTATTAGCCTCTTTCAATTTACAACATCAAATCTCATGAGTTAGATATAATTAGCAAGTTCAACTCAATATTTTATTATTTTTTTTTGTAAATTCATCATTTTAGAACACATGCAATAACAAGAGTATTTACAGTACATATATAAACAAAAAAGAAAACAATAAATGCATGCATGCATGCATGCATGCATACGTACATACATAAAGATCAAGAGAGTTTTGGAAAGGCTATGTAACAATAGCTAGCTTAGGGTTTAACTTTAGAATATGCATAGTACTTTCAAAGTTAATCTAATTCAAAGCGCAAACGTACGCTAATCGAAAACGTTGTTGTCAATTGATCGAGGCTAGCTAGTGCTCGTGTTTAACCTTCCGGCGGTACGTGTCCTTGAGCCAGCGAAAACCAGCAGAAGCTCCGGCCTTGACTTTCTTGGCTCCGGTGGAAGCCGCCGCCTTGGTCTTCGCTAACGCCTCGCTGCTCGTCTTGCCGGACAACACCTTTGAAGACGACGCCGCCGCCACCCACTGCTTCGAATCTCTTGTCTCCTCATCATCCCACTGCTCCGCCCAAGACAAGCCACCGCCGCCGCCGCCGCCGTACGATGTAGTCATGGTATAAATAAATATATGTATTATTTGTAGATAGATACTAATTTATGATATCGAGAAAGAAAATTATATATAGCCAGGCAATTAATATATTTAAGGAAATGTTATTTGAATTTTAGAGAGTTGTGTATTTGGACTTACTATATATAGATATATGGGGAGGTACGTGGTGGGAGATGACCGGCGGCGCCCTGCTCCCCGAACAAACTTCTAGAATTCCGGCCACTATTCCTACTTTGTTTGACGGGAAACATTCAAAAGTAATCTCTATTTGAATTTGATCAGCAAGACTTTGACATTTTGTAATTTGTTGGCCTAATTAACAAAGTCTTAATTCAAAAGTATTATATAATCTTTACTACTTTATTATTAATTCAAAAATGTTAGACCTCAAGGTCAACTGCATTTGAGAGGTGCAATTCATGGATCGGAGGTGGAGGATAAGTTCGGATCAGGACTGAGTGGGGGATTTATCGAGGGAATTGAACGGAGCACCTATGGTGTTGCAAATATGCGACTCTCATCTCTTTCTTTTTTTTTTGCACTAGACCAAAACACCTGCAGAGTACGGGTTCTCGCTTCTCCAAATTTCTTTAGCATATCTACGAGCCCATCATCCATTGGTGGGAGTCGTCTTTAAGAG